CGGGGGTCGGTGGCACCGTGCTGGTGGTGGTGGTGGAAGTTGGAGTCGGTGTCTCCGTGCTGGTGGTGGTGGTGGTGGTGGTGGTAGTGAAGGTGGGGCTTGGAGTCGGGGTCTCCGTGCTGGTGGTGGTTGAGGGGGTGGTCGTGGGGGCAGAGGTTGTAGACTTGGGACAGAATTCCATTGGGATGCAGCAATTGACACGTATTTCATAGTCATAACAGACCGAGAATGGTCCATTTCCAAACTGGTCTTCATTTTTGCAAATGAACCCCAAGGAGACATCACACTGCACCTTCTGGCCTGCCTCTTCCCAGTCGAGGTGGGGCTCCTTGGCCAGCCGGCACTGGATGTCCTCAGGGGCCTCGCAGACACTGTCGAACTTCTCCCTATCTCCACTGGCGCTGTCTATGCTGGGGTAGTTCTCATTGATCCAGTCGGACCAGAAGCAGCACAGCTCTGGGGAAGCAAGACCCAGGACTGGGTCAGTCACCACACCATAACCCCTGGACGCAGCTTCCAGGGGGCTCACTGGGACTCACACAGTCACAAGGGCGTGACCGCCCTCCTACCACGGCCAAAGAGCCAGGGTGCTGTCGGCTCAGAGGGCGTGGGGCTCTGTGCAGCTCAACACTGCGCCCCAGGGAAGGAAGAACCCCTCATGCCACACCTGGGTGACAGCCCAACCCCAGAGCTCCAGCCCTGTGCCCCTTCCTCAGCTGTTTCCAAATCCTGATGCCCACCCCCAAAATATTAACATGGACTGGGTCACCCATTCTGGTGAGGAGGCTTATGGGAAGGGGCTTGGTGTAGGCTCTTGAACAATAGTGTCACCCAGAGCCAGTCCTTCCCCCGTGCACAAGCCGGGGACCCCCGAGTCCCTGGGAGTCAAGCCACCCAAAGCACTCTGTCTGGTGAAGGGAGCAGTACAGGCTGCTGGCCCCACATCCGAGTCTCCTGGGAAGTTCTAGGAGTGGGTCCGGGCGCCCTTCCTCCCACTCCCAGCTGCCTCGGGGGCACCATCCACAGACTTACCGGGAGTGGTTGGAGTGGTTGAGGAAGGGGTCGTTGCTGCACAAGAGCCAGGAAGGAAAGGAGGCCATCACTAGAGAGTTCAACACTTTTAAAACCCTTTTATATGTTTACAAGTCCCTTTTTCCGGTGGCTGTCACACCTGTTGGCTCATCTAGTGACAGCTGCCACTTCAGAGAACAACCATGGGGGGATTTAAGGACATTTCTCTGCTTTCTCTAAGCCTCAGGTGTATTTAATTTCTTGCTGGTTTGGGAAATGTCCCCAGGTCACCTTCACTGTAATCTGGGCTCAGGTATGTGTTCCTGATGCCGCATCGCAGCTCAGCAGACCAGAGGCCCCAGTGACATCCCCTGAGCGGGGACACCTGTGACCTTCGCAGCTCCCTCCCCCCATGTCTGCTGGGCCTGGGCCTCACCTGTGCTGGGGGTGGGGGTGGGGATGGTGCTGGTGGTGCTGGTGGTGCGGGTGGTGACGGGGGTGGTGGAGGGCGGCGGGCTAGACTGGCAGATGTTGAAGTGTTTCTCCACCGTCCCGTTGGGACCACAGATCTCCCAGTAGCAGAAAGAGCCTTCCTGGGTATAGTTGAGAATCTTCCCTGGGGGACAGGAAGGAGGCCAAGGTCAACATGGCCAGAACAAGACAGAGCCTCCCATGCCACCCCCCAGCCTGTCCCAATAAAGGAAAGATAAGGTGTCCCCCAGCCCCAACTCGCGGCAGACCAATCCCTCACTGGGACCCCATCTCTAGAGGTCAAAGGGGTCCCGGTTGGAGCATAGAGCTGGATCGCAGAAAGGGTGACCTCGGCCCTTTATCACAAGCCTGGGGAGGCTGGTGCAAGTCAGAGCCAGCTCTGAGCCAGAAAGGGCCCCTGGGGACCACAGGCACAGGGGAGGGTGATACTGAGCCCCACCCCCGCCGTCCAGGGACAGGCAGCCTGGGGGCTCTCCTGGGCGGGGGGCTTTGGTCAGCCACCCCGGGGCAGAGGGCAGCTCACCTTCCTCGGGCTGGCAGACAACTTTCGAGGAGTTGGTACACACGCTGCAAGGCAAACACAGAGCTGCAGACCCCTCCAGGGGCCCCCTGCCGCGCCCCAGGTGCAGCCCCCAGGAGCCCTTCCACTGGGGTCTAACTTGGGCCGAGGACGAGCTGAGGTTGGCAAAGGCCAGACAGAGCAGGAGGGGGAGAAGAGGCGGGCTTGACTGTCCCCACGTTCTGCCCCCGCGTTTGTGCCTATGGGTGTGCGTGCCCACAGCCGTGCATCCACACTTGTGCACACGAATGCATGGCGTGCCTGCCCGACCTCCCCAGGCTCCCTGCAGGGCAAGCTCAGGTACCAGGACTGGCAGTCTTCCTTGGAGGGCACAGACTCTCCGGGCGTGTAATGGGTGTCTTCGACATAGCAGCCACACTGGTCAGCCGTGACGCACTTCTTCCGGTCCTCGTCATAGATGGGCCTGTCCTTAGGGCACCGGGGATAGCAGCCTGGCAGGCACAGGGCACAGGGCTGGGACCACCACGGAGGGTCCCACCTCCTCCAGACCCCCCCGTCGTGCCCACCACGAGGTCCCTCTCTCCAGGATGTCCCTCTGGGAAGGCCAGGGAACCAACAACATGCAGGGTCCCAAATGTCCCCTGGCTGGGCGCTACACACTGCCGTATGGCCAAAGGGATGCCCAGCCTCCTGGGGAGGTGGGGGAGGGCGCTCTGTCCCCAGATCCGCAGGTGGCTCACCCTTTTGCGTCCCTAGTTCTCAACTGCAAGGCCCTGAGGAGATTCCCCAGACCCCTTGTGTGAGAGACCCTCTCTGTCCCACTACCTTCCTCCTCTCCTTTGCGGGCGGGGTCTTCGCTCAATGAACAAGCTTTGCAGCAAGGTGGGCCTGGTCCGCCCTGGACCTCGGGGGGGGGGGGGGCCCTCCCAGGCAACACTGTCTTCAGGGGACACCTCCCTCAGCCCCCGGGGCGCACTCACCCTCCAGGTAGGACACGGAGATGTTGGAGTGGAAGCCATTGACCGTCCTGCAGGTCTCAAAGCTGCGGTTCCCACACGGCTCGTAGTGCCACTCACACTCGTCCGGGGGGTTGTAGTAGTCACAGAATATGGCTGCGGGCGATGCGGGGTCAGACCCGGCCGGGCGAGCCCAGCTCCTTCCCGCCAGCCCGCGCACCACCCTGGCTTCCAGCAACGGCCCTCGGGAGGCCGAAATGAGACTGCATACACCCCATCCCTTGGATGGGTAAGGAGGTTCGCCCCCCCACGGTGTGGCCCCCATCCCGGGACAGGTGGGCACTCACGGCACAGGTCTGGCGTCCTCCAGAAGACGCAGGCCCCCTCCTTCGTGCACGCCTGAGCGTAGGAGGCCACGGCAGAGCAAAAGCACTCACAGTCCCCGCCCGTGTCGCAGGAGCACGAGTCATGGACGCAGGCCTCGTAGAAGGGCTTGGGGTCCACCTGGCGGAGAAGACCCTCTGTACCCTGGGCTCGCACTGCCCGCATGGGGCCGGGCCTGCCCCCGCAGCTGGGGAGCTCGGGACCCCCAGGGCAGGGCTCAGTCCCCCAGCACTAGCCTCCGGAGGGCCCACCGCTCCACCCCCCACTGCCCAGAGCTTCTATCCTTTCTCCCCCCTGGAAGACATGGGGTCTGGGGGCCCAGCCAGGGATCTCAGGGAAGGCTGGGCCTCTGGTAAAGGACAGAAGGTGGGGCCGAAGCTGGGGGACAGGTGGCACATGGTGGCCGCAGGGGGACTCCCCAGCCCGAGCACAGAGCCCATGCGGCCCAAGGCCCCGCCCACGCCCCGCCTCCCGCCCCGCACCAGGCAGCCCAGGCCCCGCCTCCCGCTCCGCACCAGGCTGCCCAGGCCCCGCCTCCCGCTCCGCACCAGGCTGCCCAGGCCCCGCCTCCCGCCCCCGCACCAGGCTGCCCAGGCCCAAGGCCCCGCCCCGTACCAGGCTGCCCAGGCCCAAGGCCCCGCCCCGTGCTGCCCANGATCTCAGGGAAGGCTGGGCCTCTGGTAAAGGACAGAAGGTGGGGCCGAAGCTGGGGGACAGGTGGCACATGGTGGCCGCAGGGGGACTCCCCAGCTGGCACATGGTGGCCGCAGGGGGACTGCCCAGCCCGAGCACAGAGCCCATGCGGCCCAAGGCCCCGCCCACGCCCCGCCTCCCGCCCCGCACCAGGCTGCCCAGGCCCCGCCTCCCGCTCCGCACCAGGCTGCCCAGGCCCCGCCTCCCGCCCCCGCACCAGGCTGCCCAGGCCCCGCCTCCCGCTCCGCACCAGGCTGCCCAGGCCCAAGGCCCCGCCCCGTGCTGCCCACGCCCCGCCCACGGCCCCGCCCACGGCCCCGCCCACGGCCGCGCACCTTGCTGTGGCAGACGCCGAAGACGCGGCTCTTGATGATGCTGCACTGCTTCTCGGCCCAGGAGAGGCGGTGCGGTCTCAGGGCGCAGGGCTCCGGGGTGACGCGCACATCTGGGCAGGTGGGGGCCTCCTTCCAGCTGTTCCCGAAGTCCAGCTCGCCGTCCACCACCATGTGGTCCCTCGTGGTGAAGTCGTTGCTGGAGCGGTGGTCGAAGTTCCCGCACAGCCCGCACACCGTGCCCTGCGGAGGCAGCGGGCGGGGGGCGGTGAGGCGGCCGCGGCCACGAAGGGCCGCCCGGCCCCCCCCGCAGCTGGGCGCCGCGCACCTCGTAGGACGGCGCCAGCTTGATGAAGAGGGTGGTCTTCTTGTCCCAGATGACGATGATGCCGATGCTGGCCTCCACCACCAGGTACTGGCCCACCTCCCTCGTGGTGTAGGACACGTGGTGGCCCACGTCCCGCTGGATCACCGTGCGCTGCTTGTCTTCCAGCTTCAGCTCCGTCCTCTGTGCCCGGGGAGAGGCCCTGTCACTGGCCGGCCCGAGGTCCCTGCGGGCTCCCTCGGCCCGGCCTCAGGCGGCACTCACCCCCATGAAGATCTTGATGGCCTTGGAGCAGGTGACGCCCGTGGTGCCACAGGGAACGTTCTCGGTGATGATGCTGAAGGAGCCCCGTGAGGAGTTCTGGCCACAGTAATCCTGGGGACCCACAGGGGACGTGAGCCACTCTAGCCAGGCCACCAATGCCCCGGGCCCCCACCCAGCCTCATCCCTCCTCTGGTAAGAGGGGGCCCCTAACGGCACACACAAGCCCCTCACTCCCCGGGCCCCTCACTGGGGACCCCTTGCTGGGCTGAGAGCGGCTTAGGACGAGGTGCGGGGCCACAGGACCAGGGCAGGCCCTGCCCCCGGCCTCACCTGAGCCGCCACGTAGGAGCAGTGTCCATCAAAGTCGTAGTATTTCCCGTCGAAGGTGATGTAGTGGCCACTCCCATAGATGGAGCAGGAGCCGTGGCACACAGCCTGCGTGCACACCCAGCGGCCCCGCCGGCAGGTGCTGAGGAGAGTGGGAAGGGGGCCTGGAGGGGCCACAGGGCGCAAGTCCCCCCACCCCTACTCCGAGGGAGGCTGGTGGGCTGGGCACTGTACGGACAGCCCCCTCGCAGCTCACAAACCACACGCACATGGCTCCCCTGCATGTGGGGACAGGCCCCCCTGGCTTGCCCACGGCACACTCCCGCCAGAGTGCCTGGTCTGGGGTCCGCAGGACACTCACCAGGTGTTGCAATCCACCTTGATCTTGTCCCCGGGCAGGTACAGGTCCCTGTTGTGCACACACGGGCACTGCTCCTCCACAACACAGCCACCACGGCCGTCATCCAGCAGCCCAACCGGGCAAACACAGCCGCTGATGCACTCTGTCTGGTACTGCAGGGGCGGGGGGTGGGGTGGGGAGGCAGGGAGAATAGCATCAGGGATCTGCTTCGGGGTCCGGAGCTCGCCCCGTCCCTGCCGTCCCCTCTCCTGACCCTGCAGTCACCCCTTGGTCCCTTCCTCACCTGCAGACCCCAGCCCTGTCTCCTCTCTTGGGTTCAGCACTGGGCCGGGGCCCAGGTGAGGGCTGCAGGCCAAGGGTCCCTACACCGGCCACCACCTCCCCCCCCAGGGACAGGGAGGGCCGGCGAGGCCCATGTGTGTGGCCCCAGCATCCCGGCCCTGGGGCCAGTGCGGAAGCCTGTGCACCCTCCCCCCACGGCGGCCCCTGCACGCACGTGGCCGGCAGCCAGTGTCTGGCAGCTCGTGGGTCGAGGGCTCTGGGTGGCCAGCGCTGTCAGGTTGTTGCAATCGATGTGGATCTTTGGGGCCTGACAGCCTGTGGGACAGAGGGGACACCTCGGCTCAATGGAAGTCGGGTTGGGGGGCTCGGCAGGCAGGGATGGGTTTGGGGCGGGAAGCCAGGCGGGCACAGTGGCTACTTACCAGGCGCGATCAGGTGGATCGGAATGCACTGAAGCCTGCCGTTCCGGCAAACGCTGAGGGCAAGAGGCAGGAGGTGAACAGGCCCCCGTGGGGGTGGACGGGCCTGTGAGGCCCCCCAGACCCCCCAACCCCGGGCCACCTACCATCGCTCCCCCTGCCGCAGGACCACTTCCCCAGCCTCCAGGTAGAGGCCGCGGTGATAGCAAGAGCACTTGGCCAGGGGCACACAGCGGCCCTTCTCGTCCAGGAAGGTGTGGTCGGGGCAGCCACAGCCATCTACCGGCGCGAAGCCCTGGAGGCAGTGGGAGTCGGCCTCGGACAGCGAGCGGCAGGTGGGCTGGCAGGTGGTCAGGTTGTAGAGGAAGATCTGTGAGGTGGGGCAGGAGCCCACGTCCTTGTCTGCGGGGGGGGGGGGGGGGGGGGGGGGGGGGGGGGGGCGTGAGCAGCGGAGGGACGGCCCCGGCCCCACAGGCTGCCCCTGAGCCTCCCCCACGGCCACGGGGCCCACGGGGGCATCTCCCTGAGACTGCGCCCAGGAACGCCCACCCCATGCCCTGCCCGCACAGAGCAGCGGGGCGGCGGCCGCGGGCGACCCCTCCCGCCTCAGGGGACACCAGGCACCCTGCAGGGACCCGCACTCACTGCACACTTGCTCCCGCCAGCCCCACAGCATGACGCCCTTGGCGGCGCAGGCGCGGGCATAGGAGGACAGGGCGGCGCACAGGCAGCCCTCGCTGTTCTGGCAGTTACATGTGTCATACTTGCACCTCTGGGGACAAGGGGTGAGGCGGTGAGCCAGGGAAGCAGCTCACACGCACGTGCACACACACTCCACCCCGCAAGGTGCACAGCCACACGCACGAGCACACACGCTCCACCCTGCAAGGTGCACATCCACACGCACGTGCGCACACGCACACACATAGGCTTCCATCCAGCAAGCACACACACGTGCTGACACACACTTTCAGCCGCTCTCAGGGCGAGCTTGCGGGCAGGGGCAGGCTCAGCCCGACGCACACGGCACACCTTGCAGGTGGGGTCAGGTCCCACTCACCTTGTAATACTCCGAGGGGTCCACGGCTGAGTGACACCGGGCGAAGGGGGTCTCTGTTTTCTTCAGCAGGGAGCACCAGTGCTCAGCATAGTTGGCTGCAGAGGAGGGTCAGACCTCAGCAGGCGCGGGCCCCTCCAAGAGGTCCCAGCTGCCTGCCGCCCAGGCTGGCACCGACTCTGTCCAGTGTGGACTGAGCCCAGTCCCTTCCAGCCTAATGCAAAGCCACGCCCCTCGTAAGGCGGGGCCCCCACCGCCACCCCTCCCTTCACCTCCTCTGACCCCATGGGTGATGGAGTGGGCGGGAGGGCGTGTGTCAGTCGCCAGACCAGCCCCCGGACGAGGGCCACCACCCAGCGATTAGCGAGCAGGCCCGGCCCCTCTGCTGTGTCTCTTGGCAGGCAGCCACCCTAAACTAGCCACGCGGCAGAAAGCAGCAGGTGGGCGGGCTGGCCACCCGGCCTCCTCCCAGCCCCTCCCAGCCAGCACGTCCCACGGGGAGTCTGCGCACCGGCTGGGCCGAGCCTCACCGCTCTCGATGTTGAGGGAGCAGGGGTCCTCCAGCCAGTCCAGCTTGTCATGGCAACTCGCCTGGGCCTTCCACGTGTTGGCTAAGCCGGCCCCCGTGGCCTCCACCAGTCCGCCCGCCGTCTTGAAGTCATCCCCTTCCAGGCCGTTGAAGTTCCCACAGAGGCCTGAGGGGCCAGGACAGGGTTGGGCAAGGGCATGGCGCCAGGGGGCAGGCCCTGAGCGGGGCCTTCGTGGGGGCCGGCCCAGAGCCCCACTCACCCTGCACGCGCCCCTGGGCGGCCTGGTCCAGCGTCACGAACAGCTGCATCACGGGCACCAGCTGCACCTGCAGCCTGAGGCCAAAGGCGGTGTTCACCATGAGGTGGTGAGACGACGGTTGGAAGATGGAGAAGGTGGCTGCGGGGCAGGGTGCGGGGGACCCCCGGTCAGCAGGGGCTCTCGAGCTGTGGGGGGCTGCCCTTCCTCCCGCGCCCCCCCCAACCGGTGGGGAGGGGACTCACCGGTCACCAGGAGGAGGGGAGGAGGGGGCAGGACTCACCAGTCACGTGGGGCAAGTTCACCTGCAGCTCATTCAGCAGCACTCTGCCATCCGACTTGAAGGCCACCACCTGCGGGACAGGCAGAGGGGACGGTGGGGCTGGGAGGGGCCTGGGGGCCCCGGGGTGTGGGCCGGGGAGGGGCGGGGGCACCCACGTTCTTCTTCTTGTCGGCCAGCAGCACCACCGTCTTCAGGCAGGTCTGCTTGTCCGTGGAGCCACAGGGGGTCAGCTCACCCAGGAGGGCGTAGGAGTCGTGGTCGCCCTGCGGGGGACAGGGGCGGTAGCAGCGACCCACACATAGCCTGGTGCGGGGCCGGGAGCCAGCCGTGCCCACTCGCCACCCGGCCAGCTACCTTGACCAGCACGTAGTAGCAGTCCCCGTGGAAAGTGTACTTCTTCCCGTCGAAGGTGGCGATGTGGGAGCCGCCCTCCAGGGCGCAGGTGCCCGGGCACGGCAGGTCTTTGCACACCCAGCGGCCGGCGGTGCAGACGCTGTGGGCCGTGGGGCACAGGGTCAGGCTCAGGGCTGCCCCCTCCAGCCCACCAGCCCAGGACTCCCCTCAGCTCGCCGGCCCCCAGCCCAGGGCCCCCAGCCCCGGGCCCCTGACTCACCACTGCTCGCAGTCATTGGTGACCTGCTGGCTGGGAGAGTACAGGTGCCCATGGAGCCTGCAGTGACACTGGCTCACAGGAATACAGCCGCCGCCTGTGATGTCATCGTACACGGTGCCTGGATGGGATGGGACGGGACATTACACTTGGCCGCCTCGGAAAGCCCTGGAGTCCCCCACGGTGGGGCTCCCGTGGGCGGGGCCGCAGCTCTGGGCTGGCCTGCGAAGGTGGGGCAATCCCCCAGGTGGGGTCGCCCGCCAGGCCTCCCACCTGCAGGCGCCTCTGGTCCTTTGGGACACCTGTGTCCCCACACATCACCCGGCCAGGGACGTGCCGCGGGAGCCCGGCCTCCAGACCACCTTCCGGGGAGCCTCAGGCTCCGTGAGCAGGGCAGCAGCCGGACAGGTGTCCTCGGGTGACGACAGGAGTACCCCCACCCAGACTCCCTGAAGCCACCTCTCTGTGTGTTTGGAGGGCGGGGTCTTCAGCTTTTGTGTCCCTTCTACCCGGTGTCAGGGAGGAGAGCACCGCCCCTCACGTCCAGCGCCACTGCTGCCCCTGCCACCCGCACGGCCCCCACCGCTGGTCCCAGGACACACTCTCCCGCCCCCACCCACCTCCCTGAGGCCCCCACTGCACACACCTTCAGGGCAGAAACAGCCGTCCATTTTGTGCTCCTCACACAGGTTGCTGATCCCCAGGTGTGAGCAGGTGTCCATGCAGGGTGAGCTGCTCTCCAGGTAAACCATGTTCCCGGGGCAGCTCTTGGCTACAAGGGCAAAGGCAGGTCCCTGAGTGGACACGTACGGGGTGCAGGGGGCCAGGGTGCAGGGGACCGGAGTGGAGGGGGCCGGGGCTCAGGGACCAGGGGTGCAGGGGGCCGGGCGAAGGGGCCCGGGGTGCGGGGGGCCCAGGGTGTGGGGGCCCGGGGCGGCGGGGGCCGGGGCGCAGGGCACCCGGCTGCCCCAGCCCTGGACGGCCCCCCCGCTGAGGGCCCCGTGGGTGCCCGCACCGCCACCCGCCTGGGCGCTTACGGCACAGCACGGCGGTCCTCCAGTTGCCGGGCCGGCCGCCGGCGTGCGAGCACTGGCGGGAGAACTGGGCGAGGGTGCTGCAGGCGCAGGAGGCGCCGGGCGGGCAGCGGCAGCGGTCCCGCACGCACGCCTGCACGTACAGCTCCAGCGGCACCAGGCTCAGGCAGTCCCTGAAGGCCGGGGCCGTCAGCAGCCTCTCACACTCGGCGCGCTGGTGGACAGATG